CCCATTTTGCACTTTGCAAGCCATGACAAAAGTATCTGTCAACGTTCTGTAATATCATCACTGAGAGAGCAAAAGGTGTCTGTACTGTGTCAGCCAGCCATACCAAAGGTCCTTCAGAGTACATTCACTCCTGGCTACTTTATACCAAGTAGGAATACTTCATTTATCCATTTAATACTGTATCAATTCAAGTTTACAATTTAAATGGTTTTCCTGGTAAGCCAGGGTGACATTAAATAAGAATACTGTAACTGATGAAAACAGTTGGACTGGTATTCTCATCCAGGATGACTCTTGTTTGGTGCCTCAGGGCCTTCTATGACCCTGTCCAGAATAAGCAGTTGAAAGACAGATGGATGGGTGGATGGATGGATGGACCCCTTTGTTCTTCACTATATATGTGAATGTGAGGGTGCCCTGAAAAACAAAACTCAGCCTCCTTCTTGTATAAACACACTAAAATCTTGGGAAGCCATAAATCAAGATGGAGTATTATTATCTGCTCTCGACACAGCTCTCAGAGTTCTTTATGTGGCCATGAAATGCTTTGGCTGCACTGGACAAAACAACAGGCTCAACCCGTATATTCTGATGCCTTCTCATGCACTCAGTATAGCCACACTGAGGTACATACAGTGTCCACAGTGAGCAACGGATAAGATAATTCCTCGGTGATGCTAATTAGCATACATACATCGCAGAGGGATTAAGAGTGACTTGCAATACAGACAGTCCCCCGCAAGCTTCTTATACTAGGGGCAGAGATGTACCAGACTGATTTGTTTTTATTATCTGTAAAACAGTATAGAACAATTTAGCTCCAGGAGCACATTGTATAAACATTATTTTGGCAATTTTTATAACCAGTACATTGTCTGGAACTCATTCAGTTATAAACTGAGATGAGGTTTTCAGATTTAAAAGAAGGCAATTAGGAAAGAAGAAGCACCAAAGACTAGCAACCAGGGCAGCGAGACAGCTGTGCAGGTGTCATATTAACACAGGAAATAGGAGAGGAACTATGAAAAATACACACCAATTACACAAGGGATCTCAGTCCATTTCGGTTAATGCCAAGCAGGAAAAAATGTTGATGTTTCATAGTGGTTTAGATTTAAAGACTGACTGGTTAGTTCATTAAATGAATGCTGCTACTGCCCCATCGTGCAGGAAACAAGTCAAGTGCGACATTTTGCGCAGTTTGAGTTTCAAGGGAAATTACACCGAGTATCATACTGGCTTCTGAGATGAATCCAGCTTTTCAAAGGTCATGCTGATGTTTATTGTAAAATTTCAGGATCAAAACGTAAATATTTTGCATGGAAATCACTGATGTTTTTAACCATTACAGTTATTAACGTCCTTTAGTGACCAAACCATCATGTTCTACTGATGGAAACCAAACCTTGGAACATCCACACTCCTTTGTAGAATAAAAAAACAACATTAATGTGTCACCCTAGTCGCTCTACGTGACCACAACAGGACAAAAACCTCTAACTGTTATCTTGGATCTAGTTACAAAGGCCCTTTTGAAACTTCTTTACAGATAAAAAACATTCCTTTCCTTAAGACAATTAATAATTTTCTCCTCCCACACACCTGTTTCTGAAACAGCCCAGCGTGTTCAACAATGTTTTGAAGACCAGATAAAGTTAACATCATACTGTCTTTGAATGACCCTTCTTTAAAAAGGGGCAAGTTCATGCTTTTAATTAAAACAGTCTGCTTGCTTTTACATGCTTTGCTTTAAATGAACGCCCATATATACTGACTGTCATATAGACTTTGTATTATGGAAAACACGCACATACATGCACATATAGACACGTACACAATCTGACTAACTTGTATACTCCAAGAAGCAGCAAGCTGCATAAATGTAAATTAAATTAATCCTCTGTTGTTTTTCCTCAGTTGGAAGACCAACATCAGGGTAGTTTATAAACACTACCTAATTTAGGTTTGTGGTTCCTAAACTGCACATATTATTACATTAATACATAAACTGGGGCAAATGTATTTTATCCAGAAACACATTAGGAAGTCAACAAAAATGTCAACAAGGAATCAGTCAGAAAATTATTATTTTTTAATTGGAAAACAATTCCTGCCCTGACCAGAGATGGCGCCTCTCTGGAAGGGCCACTGCGGGAAATGGCCGCTGTGTAAAGCTGTAATCTGTTGTCTTCCCGTGTCACAATGGAAAGAGGCTCCCATGCTGTCCTGACACTGTACTTCATGTTTTTTTTTTTTATGAATAACGTGGAAAAGGATGTGGAGTGGGCATGGCACGGTGGGAAAAACATATTACTGATATAACTGATTAAGTGTTTATAAACAGAATGATGTCAAGCACTATGCAAGTAAAAGGGGGATTGTTCTGTTTTGAGTACAGGACAATAGATGAACTTATTTCACTGCAGTAAAACAATGAATTCCTCACAGACATGGGATGACATAAAAACGACTGTAGTACAATGGTTATATTCCTTGAAACAAATAATGATTGCTGGTACATGTACGTAACAAATTCCATTTCAAATCGATCAAGTGAAACGAGTTATAAATATACGATAACTAACCTTACCATGAGTCGCACGCAGGAACTGCTTTTCTCTTGTCAGGCCTTGGATTTCAATCTTTACACCACTGTTTCCCAATATGCTCCTTTGGGACTCATAGAGAGTCCATGTTTTTCCTACCAGGAGTGGGGAGGAAGCAAAAATGTGGACCGTCTGGCAGGAAGTTCAGAGGGAGCGAAAACCTGGACCGGATGTGGCTCCTGAAGGCCGGATTGGGAAACACTGCTTTTGACTCTCCCACAAGACTGCACATCATGTTATTTCAAACCCGCTCATTTCAGAAAGGAAGCCCCTTGAAGCGATGGCATCAGATAATAGCTGGGGCCAGTTGTCCCTGCCTGCCAGTCACCTGGCTGAGTGAGAGGGCTAATGTAAAGGGAGCACTAATAACAGACCTGATCCCTACTGCTCTTTAATCGCGTCCATTTCCTCAACTCTTTCACACCGAAAGAATCCAGTACATGCAACATCAAAGACGGCAAGTGCAATAAACAAAACCGAAACAGGAATAAATAAATAAATATCTTCTTATGTAACCTTTTTTCCAGTCTTACTCATGAAGCATTTCTCAACCATGAGAAGTTTTTTTAAAAAAAGAAAAACCTGAGTTGAAAGTTGGTCCAGGATCCAAGATAACAGATACAGCTATTTCAAAACAGCTATTATAGTAGGAGATTTATTGAAAGCATTATATTTTAGACACTGGTGAGAGAGGGCAGCTGAAATGCTTATAGTTTAAATACCATGTGTTAAAGCATTTAGTTAATACCTAAAATATTTGAATGATTTACTTTAAAAAGTCTGTATATTGGTTGAATTCATTTTCCTGTTTTCTATAAGATGGTACTTTGAAACATGTCTTTGTTTTTACTATGGCTTTGTTCTGAAGCTAACAGTACATTAGTCACATTGTCAATAGATTACTTCACCTGGCTTAGGTCACATGGGCCCGTTCCAGTGCTCTATAATAAAATCAGATAGCCACCAAAAACACACGTGTACACAAATTCCTTCTGAGACAACTTGACCCCTGGTTTCAACAAATCCGGAGATGTTTCCATTTGGCCCAGCTTCTCAGATATAAGTGCAGTGTCTACCGTGTTGAAACGCACACACATACAAACTGTCCCACATAGGGGAAGCAGACAAGGCCCTAGGGAAGCTCTTACATAAACAATATCGCCTTTTTATTACTCGCACTTACAGATTTTCTTTAAAGAGCCCTGGTCAAGTGGCCTACAGCTGCTGGGCTGCTGGTCCCGGGTCCAGTCTGCAGCCACACATGGACACCCGGGCCTGCTCTGCATTTCAGCCAACTAGGGGCACTCAGGACTATCACAAGGCTGAGTTAAGAGCTCGGCACTGGAAAGGCGCTATGGCACCACGTAGCGGCATCGGAGACCACAACCTGCTAGCGGGGGCCACCATCGAGGTGCTATGCCTGCTTATCCTCAATAGCCCCGTGCTGAGGGCCTAGCGAGCTCTTCAGGATTCGCCTAAATAGCATGTGGTTCTGTGTATAGATTCCTGGCAGTGTAATGAAAACATAGGGGATGGAGGCCGGCGTAGCTTTCTCTGCAGTATTATCAGATTGTGACACAGAGCGCTGAATGAGCAAACTGTGCTTGAATTTATTCAGCTGTTCCCGAAGGCTTATGTTTCATAAGCGGCTGCTACAGAACACCGGTCTCCACGTGACTCGACTTTAAACGTCTATGACAAGCCCTTTAACGGTTTCAAGTAAACCGCACGCTTGCTTCTGACAAAATATCACCTTGCCAAAGCCCTGAAAAATGCAGAGCTCCAACATGGGAATAGTCATCACAACTGTTCCCCTGTTCCTCGGCGTTCACTTACTACCCAAACAATGCATCAGCCGTTTTTATACCGCGTCTTTCATTTGAACAGAGACACAACATGCTATGAATTCCAAGTGCTGCAACATTATTTTTCATCACCAGTTACACTTCAGAAAAATAAGAGAATCTTAAATACAAATAAAGTCATGTCTTAAACAACAAACACCACAGATCCCTGAATTTTGACAATATCTATCATTTCTCATTCATGAACATACTGTAGTGTTCTTAAGGGTCAAATCCTTTCAAGAACATACTTACCTTAAATACCTCCCTTGTTATGATAAATGGAGCTTTGCAATAGTATTCCGGAAAAAGCAGGTGGCTACTCTTTTGCTATGTAAATAGACTGAAAACAGGCATTGAACAGAGAGAGAGAGAGAGAGAGAGAGAGAGAGAGAGAGATTGACTAGAGGGAGAGAAAGAATATTTGAAGAATCTTGAAAATGTGTAGGATGAACAGGGTTGGAAAAAAAGATGAATTACTACATATACATCCTCCTGAAATGTGAGGTCTGTGCTTCTCTGCCTAAATGACTCTGTACACTATCTGTACCTGCGCGTCTGCATCTCCTCAACAAGTCCTCCCTCTAGCATTCATCCTTCTTCGCCTCCTCTTTCTCTTTCTTCCTTCCTCTTCCTCAGCACGTGGTCAAGATGGAGATCCTTTAGGGACCGTGGATCCCGCTCTAAGCAAAGTCTGGTCAAGTGATAAATGTAGAGTTTCAGCATTGTGCCATGGCTGTTTGCTCCAACTGTGACTGCATCATCTGTGGGAGGGAGGCACAGGGGGTCAAAGGTCACACACTGTACACATGGAGAGCCGAAGTGACCTCAGAGAGCTTCTGCACTGCTGGAAACAGGCTGTGCAGTGGACAAGTTAGACTGACACAGGGACAGTGGCAAATGAAAGAGGAGGGAGGTTTCACTGGATACCGGTGGAACTGTAAAAAAGATGCTTTATTAAGAGGATTTGTGAGGGGCAGCAGAGGTGATCTGGATGACTTTGGCTGGGCTGCCAGACCTTATGCCAATGAAAAGTTTTGTCAAACAAGAATTTGGGAGTCTCGGCCTCCCAGCCCAAGAGATAAATAAACTATGTAAAAAAAAAAAAAAAACTTGCACACTGTGGCATAACCAGTCCTGACTGATAGAAGCCAGAGGATCAAATACCAGTAGAACCAGGTACAACGTGAGCAGTTTGAGGAGAGCCAACAGTGGGCAGGGCAGGGCGGAACACTCAGGTACGCAGTAACATGAAGGAGGGAGACCTGTTCCATGGAGAGCCGGTGTGGGTGCGGGTTTTTGGCATGACCTCTCATCAGCCAATAATAAAACAGTGGTTCTCAGCTCCAGTCCTAGGAACCCACTGTTATTGGCTGATTGGGAGGCCATCCAAAAATCCTGCACCCAACATGGAACACGTTCCCCACCTCTTCACTAACTAATATATGCACAAGAGCTCCAGTAAAATCACAGAAAACCAAGGATCCTGCTTACCTCTACAACTGCTGTATGCTTATGATTAAACACACACGCACATACATACACACACACACACACACACACACACACACACACACACACACACACACACACACACACACACCTTATCCAAGTGTACCTGATAAGCACTTAGTACAGTATGTAATAGGTTGAAACCAAAATTATAATTGCCCATTGTGGATAATGCCAGTATAAATAAGTTGTTTACTAATGTTTACTCATAATGGACTAATTAGTTTTCCATTATAATACATCTTTGTACCAATAAGAATGGCATCGGGTGAAATGCCTTTTTCCACCCTTCCTCCTGTCTAGGGGGCTATAGCTATCACTAATGCGCGTTAAGTGAATAAAATGAGATCCTTCTGTATAAAAGTAATCAGACTGCCCACAATGGCTTTCCTATGGCTCACCCCAACAGAGCAGCAGTCTGTTAGCCACCATAATCACAGAGCGCCCAAGGTCAAGGGGAGACTGCTTGAGGAATGTGCAGAGGGCTTATTACAGCAACTTGGAGAAACACTGGAAAGAATTCTCCTGACCGAAATAAAGTGCCCTGCCATGACTTCCAAATGTCATAGTAACCCCTGGCCTTTCACATTTCAGCAGTGTCATTATGTAATTAACACCAATTAAGTAATTTGGGCTGTAAGAATGTCAACGATATATGGGGACCCATGTCAATTATACCAAGAGGTGACCCTAGAAAATGAGAGGACAACAATGAGCCTCAAATTGATTTCTTAAAGTGAAAATCACCTCTTCTGGCTCTCCACCCCTCTGAAGGTCACCCCTAATTTTCTGTATTTACAAGCAGTGATATGGTACCACTCCAGGCCCAAAGAGCACATTGAAAAAAGTGGGCAAAGAATGAACACAAAATAAACACTTTCCGTGATTTTTGAATGAAAGGTCACTAAAAGCAAACAGCCAATATACCCCTGGGAAAGTGAACATAAATAATGAAATTAAACAAGCGAATAGTCAGTTTGATGTGCTTTATTTGGTTCTTTACACCCAGCACTATTCAGTTTTCCTTTGAAAACTACCCATGACAAAAGCGCATGTGGGACTATGTGAAAAAGACCCTTATTCAATTCTGATACATTATGATAAAAACAAAGATGCCAAACAAGAAAAATAAAATATGCAAGTCAATACCACGTCAAACACATGACTCACTAGACCAACAATTGTCACAACTCTACTTACAATTTACTTTAGTGTAGATACAGCTATATCATTATAATAGAATAAGTACCTGGGTGTTGCCTGAAGTCTGAAAAGACTTCAGAATATGAATCACATAATCCGTTTGGAGGGACACTGACAAAGAGACCTCACACAGTTTTTTAGCATAAAACCAAACAAGACCAGACGAGGTCGGACCAGGCAGGATTTATATGTTTTTTTTTCTGTTGCAATCAGAAACTTCAACTTGGGTATTGACTAGTTATTACCATAGTAACAAGGATATTGTAACGTTAAATCGATTAGCTTTGGTGATGCAATTATTATTCAGATAAAAACAGCAGCAATGAATGTAATACAAGGAAATGTGATAGATTTCTAAGTGTTAATGAAATTTAATGTAAAATAACTAGTGTGTTTCCTGTGATGAACATGACAAATATTATTGCCAGCTATTAAATAAGACTGAACAATAATAATGACTTGTAGACTGCAGACATTAAAAAGTTTTGTCTGCACACAAATGTCGGCTGCACAAACGTCTACAAAGTATCCATGATAAATTATCGGACTTGAGACTCATTTAAGCCTATTGTTTAACTTTCAAAATATTTGCTAAACACTATTCCAAAGAGGCTACATTTAAACAGAGCACTCAGAAGAACGTTTCTATATAAGCTATCAGCCACCATCAGGTTGATGGCGGTCTCCAGCCCTGGTACTTCCTGGTATGGAGCATGACCAAAACCTTTTGTCACGGTCTGTCACAATGGAGATGGCAACGGAAAAAAACAATGCACGTTCTGGTACGTCCATGGTGTGTTTCATATTTGGTAACTGTTTTATAAGATTTAACTTAACGCTGAGGTGTAAATGTGAGTGATAGACAAAGGAAAAGTGAAATACTTTCCTCTTTTTAAGACTCAGTTGTCAATATCAGATATCTGACATGAGGATGGAAATTAATTTGCGTCTCAATCTTATTTCCTTTGTATGTGATCCTCAATGGTCTTATAGGATGTGCTTAATCAGTACCACATTACTTTGTAAAAGGAAGTCCTTGAACAAAAAGCCTGTGTAAAAGGATGGCAAATTAGTTTCAGGACTTTCAGAATCCTGAAGTGAAGGCAATGAGAGCCCCGCCTGCTTGGGAGGGCATGTGGGTGGGGGCAGGGCAGGTATAATTGTTTATTACAAAAGAACAAACTATAAGAAACAGTGAACAAACCAATACCCCCTGCGAGTTTGTGGTTCACCAGGTTCTAGAAAATTCTGGGCATGTTTCAAATCAAACGTAACTTTTTTTTTTTTTTTTTTACATTTTATGTGTTACATCTTTGCTGAAAGCAGAGTAGTGAGCCATCTGCACATTGTCAGGGCTACTCTCACGTGTTTCTCAGTTAAGGCGCACTGCACGTGATCAACATTTAAGTGCCTAATTTCTTTGGATTACTTACAGATGGTACTGCAAAGGTACACGGCGTCTGTCCGTCACATCTGTACTTTAAGTGCCGAAGGAAATGCACACCAAATGACAACCAATCCAGAGAAAGGCAATTATGAAAAAGAAGGCACCATATTTCATTGTCAAGACAAGAAGGAGATATCAGCCAATGTAATCTGACTTGTATAAATGCCAATAATATTTAAAAATTGGGCCTTGGGTTCCACTTCATCCCAGGAGTACTCTGGCTCTTGCTATTTCATCGTCAGCTGGGCAATTTTATCATTCTTCCAATTTAACACGAGTCACATTTAATTTTTGCCACTCGCATCAAGCTAGTCAGTATGAGCTTCCAACGCACATCAATCATTCAGTAAATTAATGTTTATATTGTCAACATTAGCAACAAGGATCTTGTGTCGCATACCTTTCAAAAATAGCTTTGTTTATTCTTGCAACATCCATTTTTCTAGTGGTAATTCATTCGTACGTACAACAAATTAAATTTCAGTAATTCTCCCAAATATGCACCGAATGCAAGCTGAACATTTATACTAGTGCGTGTAAATTAAAAGAATCTAGAAATCTATAAAGAGAATTTATATTTCGCATTTAACGATGAAACAATGCTTTCCACTGAAGCCTGGATATTTGGAGACACAGATGACTTTACAAGATGCCAGACTTCACAGAAACAGACTGATCCCATTTGTTTTTGCGTCTGTCATGATAGCATAGGGGTACACGCAGCATGCTGGTTGCCAGATTACAAGGCAAGCCAAACGATAAAGTCAACCTTGGATAAACTTCTCAACTGCAGTTCAAAAACGCCCGGCCCCTACACAGGTTCAGTCGTGGGTTCCTTTGAAACTGTGCCCTGAACTTCATTATTCACAATTCCCTAACCTGGAATGGCTTTCAGGGTCCTGCTGGTAATGTACACTCTTCAGTGCCAGTAAAAATGGCAACTGCACTTTGAAGTGGCATCATTGCCCTGAGTTATTAGATTACAGTTAGCCATCTTACATAAGACACACAGCATTATACAGTATGTATGCCTGGCATTCTCTTCGATGCCAAAAATGAAGGGTGTCAAACAGATTATCCTTGTTGCAAGTCACTGTATTTGTTATGAGTCTTTCCCATTGATCACCGGGTTTGGATATTCTGTCAACATAAAATATTTTAAGCCCCGTGGCATCAAATAACTTCTTAATAGGATTTTACAAAAGGCTGATTTTCCAAACATATAATGGGCTCCCAGAAAAATGCAGTTATTACAAAGATCGCTAAGCTTTTTCATCAGAAAAAGAGATGTTTAGGAAAGAGGTTATGCATAGAAAAAAAAGCACAATTCTCATTCAGAGAGCAACTTAAATCGTATTATCCCGGGAAGGAGAATTAAGAATGTCCAGTGAAGTTCCAGCCATGCGCTGAGGAAATAGCGAGCTAAGATTTTATCCAGCAGAATATTTGCAACTTGCAAAATAAAGCCATCCATTTATTAGGCCTGTTTATTACGAGCTCGGCGCTGGCTGAGAGCCAGAGAGCCGGCGTGCCTGTGCATATCGAGGATCTCATGTTTGGAATTCACTACTTAAGAAAAGTGAAACTGACATATCCCCCTCA